TTAGAACAGAGATATGGAGGAATTCCTTCCGCTAGAGGGTGGTGACTCCGTGGAACTCATGTCAATGAGTGTATAGAAGACAGAGATAGATAGGTTCTTGATTACTAAGGGAATCAAGGGTTATGGGGAGAAAGCAAGAGAATGGGGTCAAGAAATACATCAGTCACGAGCAAATGGCAGCACATACTCAAATGAACCAAATGGCCTAATTCTGGTTGCGATCTTATGGTCTTACAAAGATTAAGATAATCCATTTGGCTCTTTCAAACCTACAGTTCCTCAAGTAAAAGACCCCAAAGATCAAATACAATTTTCTAATCCCCATAAGCTTCAGCTCAAAATCTATGACATCTCCATACTAACCTTCGGGTCCCAAACCTCCATGACCCGTGCTCTCAGAAAACATTTCAGATTTAAAACTTCAAGATTCTATGAGTCCCTACCACTTCCTCCAGACCACAGCCATAAAACCCTCCAAGAGTTCTTCCAAATCTGGCCTTTTGTATATTGAACAATCTTCAATGTACTGTTCATTTTAAAGTACTTTTAAAGTAATCACACTCAACATAGGGGAAGGTGCACATCAAGATTATGCCTATTAAATAAAACAGAACCATATGACAGAACATTTGACATACACTGTTAACTTGACTAGACGTATTCAACTTATCCCAATCCTGGGATCTATCTACATAACTATCTTCTTTCCCCTTCGAATAGTTACCCAAATTTCCTTTTGACGTTATTGCCAAACTTGTTTCCACCACTTTTTCAGGCAGTGCACTCCACATTATAACAACTCACCATTTAAAACAGTTGTTTCTTGGTGGGCAAGTTGTTTGAGGGGATTCTGACATACAGGATCTACATGCATTTAGAAAGGCAAAAACTGAGTAGGGATAGTCAGCATGGTTGTGTGCACAGGACATCATGCCTCACAAACATGATTGAGTATTTTTGAAGAGATGACCAAGAGAACAAATGAAGGCAGAGCAGCTGAGATTGTCTACTTGGACTTTAGCAAGGCCATTGACAAGGCTCCGCATGGTAGACTGGTTAGTATGGTTAGATCACATAGGATCCAGGGAGAGCAAGCCACCTGGAGGTAGAGTCGTTGTTCAGACTGGCAGCCTGTGACCAGCAGCATGTCTCAAGTATTGGTTATGAATCCATTGCTTTTTGACATTTCTATGAATGAATCTGGATAAGAACATAGGAGGCATGGTTAACAAGTTTCTGGATGATCCCAAAAATTGGTGGTATAGTGGATCGCGAAGATTATCTCAACACTACAGAGGATCTTGATCAACTGGACCAGTTAGCCAAGGAATGGCAGTTGGACTTTAAGCGAGATAAATGCAAGGTGTTACATTTTGTTGAGACAAACCTGGGCAGGACTTATACAGTTAATGGTACAGCCATGGGGAGTGTTGACGAACAGAAGGACCTAAGGGTTCAGGTACATAGTTCCTTGGAAGTGGTGCGTGGCACGCTTGCCTTCATGGGTCAGAGCACGAGTACAGGAGTTTGGTCATTATGTTAATTCTATACAAGACATTGGCGAGGCCACATCTGGAGTACTGCGTACAGTTCTGGTCAGCCTGCTATAGGAAGGATGTTGTTAAACTGGAAAGGTGCAGAAAAGATTTACAAGGATGTTACTGTGACTGGAAGGTTTGAGTTCGAAGGAGAGGCTGAATAGACTGGGGTTTTTCTTCCTGGAGCCTAGGAAGCTAAGGCATGACCTTATAAAAGGTTTATACTGTCATGAAGGGCATTGATAAGGTGAATAGCTGTGGTCTTTTCCCCAAGGTAGGAAAGTCCAAAACTAGAAGGCGTAGGTTGAAGGCAAGAGGGGAAGATCTAAAAGGAACCAGATGGGCAACGTTTTCACAGAGCGGTGTGTATATGGAACATTCTTCCAGCGGAAGCAACAGAGGTGGATACAATCATAACATTTAAAAGACATTTGGATAGGTACATAGATTGGAAAGGTTCAAAGGGATATCCGCCAAATGCACACAAATGGACTATTTCAGTTTAGAAAACCAGGTTGGGCTGAAGGCCCTGTTTCTAACTCCAGTCCTTTTGCCAATTAGTTTAAAATTGTGCTCTCAGGTGACAGCGCACTCTGCCACTGAAAGCAATTCATTTGGCTTTATCCTCTGAACACCTCTAATCGAATCTCCTTGCCTCATTCTAAATAGAACTTACCCCAGCTCTCCCCATAACTGAAGTCTCTCATTCCTGAGTCAATCCAGTGTGGAGCTGGAGGAACACAGCAGGTCAAGCAGCATCAGGGGAGTCGACATTTTGGGCCTAGACCCTCCATTTAGACCTGATGAAGGGTCTAGGCCCGAAATGTCAACTCCCCTGCTCCTTTGACACTGCCTGACCTGCTGTATTCCTCCAACTCCACACTGGATTAACTCGGACTAAAATGATATCCGGAAATAAGAGAGATGGCCTAGTGGTGTTATTGCTGGATTGTTAATACAGAGACCCAGATAAATGTTCTGGGGACCCGGGTTTGAATCGCGCCATGGCAAGTGGTGGAATTTGAATTCAATAAATATCTGGAATTAAGAGTCTAACAATGACCGTTTGTTGATTGCTGGGGAAAACCCATCTGGTTCACTAATATCCTTTAGGGAAGGAAACTAACATACTTACCTAGTCTGGTCTACATGTGATTCCAGACCCATAGCAATGTGGTTGACTCTTAACTGCCCTCTAGGCAATTAAGGATGGGCAATAAATGTTGCCTAGCCAGCAACTCGCCTCATCCCACGAATGAATAAAAAAAAGATAGCAAGAACTGACTCCAGCATCTACAATCTCTTCTATATCCTCAAGGCCTTGGCATTCTTGCTAAAGCTGGTGTTTAAAAGGTTAAACAATTCTCCAGCTGAGGCCTAAACACTTTCATGAAAGACTTATTACAACTTCTTGCTTTGTACTCTGTGACTCTTAACAATGCCTTTCAAATGCTAGCTTCATGGACCTCGTATGTTCACCTTCAAAAGATCTGTTCATATTCAACCCCAGATCACTCTTTCTGTAGCTCCTTTGAATATGCACCATGATGGCCTTTTCAGTTTTCCTACCAAAACAAAATCACTTTAAACTGGAGTTGCCACTTCATGTGTCCTCCTGAAGGTTTGTTACCAACCTCTCATTAACTACATTTAAGATCTTTGTCTCAACCAGAAAACAATTGTGTCCAGAACACTCAAGTCTAGTCAACTGATATTAGCAAGAGGTAGCAGTACCAAATCCTGTGTTTCAGATAGGAAGGAAACACAACTGTTTATCTCTGCCCCTTAGAGAATTTCAAATCCAGTGTGCAACCCTTTAATTGTCAAAGACTTCAATTTTGAAAAAGCAACTATTACATAATTTTTTTTCTTATTCATTCACTGGATGTCAGCATCACTGGCTGGGCCAGTGTTCATTGCCCATCCCTAGCTCCCTTGAAGATGGTTAACCATTGTAGCCCATTTGGTGTTAGTACACCCATGCACAGTTAGGGAGGGAGTTCCAGGATGCTGACCAAATGAACACTAAAGGATCAGTGATATATTCAGATGGCAAGGAATTTGTATGTATCGTATTCTGTATCTACAGCCTTTTCATTCTAAATTAAAGTGCTGTGGATTTGAAAAATGCTGTTACCTTGTTTAACCCTTTTTTCCGCTCTTCTCAAAGTTTATCGGGCCAAAGACATTAACCCAGCTTTCTCCTTTGCAGATACTGACTGGAGATTCTGAATAATGTGTTGTATATTCCCAATATCTCACCATTTCAGATTTCCAACATCTGCAACTTTCTTAAAAGTAATACTTGTGCCTCTCTAATAAGCAACTATGCACAAAGATCACTTCAATGTCTTCATGCCACTTTCAGTCAGCCACATCACGATGTGTTGTGAAGATAAATTGTCACTGCAGGCTGACTCTTCAGACTATGTTGTCTGCAAAGTCAAAATGTAGCAGCCACTATTTTTCTCTTAAGCAGACCTTTCGGGTGGGGGGTGGGGTGAGGTTTAGCTCAGTTGGCTGGACAGCTAATTTGTGAAGCAGCATGATGCCAATCGGACAGAGTTCAATTCCCACACCAGCTGACTATGGAGGAGTCTCCTTTTCAATTTCTCTCCTTCACCTGCGGTGGTGACCCTCAGGTTAAACTACCATCTGATGTCTCTATCTAATAAAGAGAGCACCCCAATGGGCTGGTAAGATTTTGGACTCTTCACTTCGATTGTTTCAAAACTGACTAACACTGGAAAATGGCTTATGTTCAGAATAAAAGTAGCTACCTGGATTAAAAGGGGGACCAAACGTTCTCCTGCTAGATGTCAAATTTCTCCAAAGGAAGCATGCTCACTTTATACAGTTTTTCCAAGCAAGCGCAGAGAGACATACGGCACTGCCCGTTGTACTGGTTTCAATTAAAGTTGCTTGCAAAGGTCATCATTTTAACACGCTAGAACGTGGACATACCCTTTTGATTTTATCAACTATATGGAGATCTTGTGTTTTAGAACAAAGAATGCGGGTTTGGGAAAGAAAGAGGGTTGCAATAAGTAGAATTTTGGCAATTCAGTGTTTTAAATAACTAACCCAGTATTTTAAAACAGGTTCGCTCCAAACAGAAATCGTGGCCGACAAGCTTCGTCACAAGCTCTACTGTAAACGCGAACCACCTGAAACTATGCTGATATTTAAAAAAAAACCTTCACCCTCTCTCTTCACCAACAGGCCAACACACGAATAAAACGTCCTGTTATTGACAAATAAGACGAAGTCTGCTACAGTTAGACAACGGTAAGTTAAAATTAAGATCAAGTCTCCTACGAGTGCGGAGGGTAGGAGGGGGATGGGGTTAAAAGGCCTGAACGCACTGGCGGCATGCGGCCTACCGGCTCCCAATGGGGGGCTATTGCAGTCGCCTCCAGCAGCAGCCTGTCTCCCCTCCCCGGCTCACCATACGGTACTCACTATGGCATGGCTCGGCCCGGTTCCGTTCCACTTCCGCTCCCCCTTCCCTAACGGTCACCGAGGTTCACTCTCATCCTTGCGCCCCAGAGACTGATTCTTTTATTTCCTTTTTATGAGGGGGAAGAAAATCGCTCCTTCGGATGTTGAAGGAATTTCCCCCACTACAGTTACACTTTTAATTGTAAACTCGCCGCTCCTTTTGTTTTGTTCCCAGCGCCGACAACACCCTCTTTCTTCCTTTTCTCCCCGTTGGCTCCTCCTTTATAACAAAGCGACCGGTCCCAACATGGCGACAGACGGACAAAAACAACAAACCCGCCGCAGCCAGCACCAGCCGGCTCGGCGTCCTCGGCGCCACCTTCCCCTTACGTCAACGCGCACACAACGCCATGCTCTCTCGTCAGCACGTCGCCGCACTCTCCCCAATTACACATGCGCACTTACGCGTAAAACAGTCCGGAAATTCCATACATGCTGACACCAAGGAGCTTGGCAATTACAGCCCTTTTGCGCAAGCTCCTTAGTGCTTTTGAGCAGCACAAAGCTCCCTGATATTGCGCATGCTCCCTGATATCAGCCAGCTCCGCCTCTTTGATAGTGCGCATGCTCCCTATTGTCAGTATGCACAGCCTCGTTGTTAGTGCGCGTGTCCCTAGTAGCCGGAAGCACAGCCTCATTGATAAAATGTTCTGAAGGGTCACTGTGTTCGAAACGTTAACTCTGCTTTTTCCTCTACAGATGTCGCCAGATCTGCTGAGCTTCTTCAGCAATTGCTATTTTTGTTCCAGCCTTGTTCATAATGCGCATACTCCTGGATGTCAGCAAGAGCACTGCGGGTGTTGGAAATCTGAAAGAAAAGTAGGAATTGCTGCAGAAATTCTGCAGGTCGTCCAGCATTTGTGGAGAAAAAACAGAGCTAAGGTTTTGAGACCAGTGACTCTCCTTCAGAACTCTGACTTTATTTTCTCTCCAGGGATGTTTCCAGACCTGCTGAGTTTCACCAGCAATTTTTGTTTGTTTCTTTTTTTCCCTTTTACTTTGATTGTAATTTGAAATTTACTGTTTGACCCTAAGAATTTAACAATAGTTTAAGGCTTAAACCTCATATCAGTTTAACAAATTCTCACTCCTGTGATCTGACCTCCAAGTAAACTTCCCATTTTCAGGACCTTTGACATTACAAAGATATTGAGGCCATTATAGCAATGTCCATCACAAAAACTCTGACCACTTAATGCCACTTTCTACACCTCCTTGGGTACTTCCACCTTGGCAAAAAAAACTCCCCCATTTCAATTAGAACTGCCCTTCAAGCTTCATTTAGACTCTATTCACAACAATATTTCTCTAGTTACCAAATTGCCCAACCAGTTGAGGATCAGGTTTCAGTTATACAGGGTGTTGGTGAGACTATATCAGGGATATTGTGCACCATATTGGTCCTTATTTAAGAAAGGATAGGTATGCATTGGAAGTAGTTCAGAGATTTGCTAAACAAATATCTAGAATGAGTAGGTATTCTATCTACTATAGTCCAAAAAAGTAAGAGGTGACGAGTGAGAGATATAAATCCTGAGGAGTCCAGACGAGAGATATGGAAAGAGTGTTTCCTCTTGTGGGGAAATTTAGATTTAGGAATCACTGTTTAGAATTAAATAGCTGTCCATTTAAGACAATGTTGAGGAGAATATTATTCATATGGTGGTTCATAAGTCATTGGAACACTCCTCCTCAAAACGCAGTGGTAGCAGTGTTTATACTTTTACCAACATATTTTCAAGGCAGAGATTGATTGATTCATAATATGCAATGGGGTGAAAGGTTTCTGGGGATCAATAGAAATGTACAGTAATCAGATTAACTATGATCTTGTTGAATGACAAAGCAAGTTTGCTGCACCAAGTGGCCTACACCTACTCCTACTTTGTATATTTGTACTTAGAGTCATAGCACTATGGAAACAGACCCTTTGGTTCAACTTGTCCATGCCGACCAGATATCTTAAACTGATTAGTCCCATTTACCAGCATTTGGCCCATGTCCTGTAAACCCTTCCTATTCATGTACCCATCCGGATGCCTTTTCAATGTTGTAATTGTACCTACATCTATGACCTCCTTTGGCAGCTCATTCCATACACGATCTAACTTCCATGTGAAAATGTTGTCCCTCAGGTCCCCTTTAAACTTGCCCCTCTCACCTTAAACCTATGCCCTCTAGTTTTTGACTCCCATACCCTGGGAAAAAGACCTTGGCTATTCACCATATCCACGCCCCTCATGATTTTATAAACTTCTATAAGGTCACCTCTCAGCCTCCAAGCCTCCAGGGAAAAAAGCCCCAGCGTTTTCAACCCCATCCCTATAGCTGAAACCCTTCAATCCCAGCAACAATCTTGTAAATCTTTTCTGAACCCTTTCAAGTTTACCAACATCTTTCCGATACCAGGGAGACGAAAACTGTATTTTAAAAGTGGCCTCACAAATGTCTCGTACAGCCATAACATGACATCCCAACTGCTATATTCAATGCACTGACCAATCAATGCAGTGTGCCAAATGCCTTCTTCACCACCCTGTCTACCTGCGACTCCACTTTCAAGGAACTATGCACCTGCACTCCTCGGTCTCTTTGTTCGGCAACACTCCCCAAGGCCCTACCAGTAACTCTCTAAGTCCTGCCTTGGTTTGCCTATACAAAATGCAATGCCTCATATTTATTTAACTAAACTCCACCTGCTACTCCTCGGCCCATTGGGCCATCTGATAAAGGTCCCTTGTACTCCGAGATAACTTTCTTCACTGTACACTACACCACCAATTTTGGTGTCATCTGCTAACTTGCTAAACATACCTCCTATATCCACATCCAAATCATTTACAAAAATGATGAAAAACAGTGGACCTAGCAGTGACTCTTGCAACACAGTGCTGGTCACAGGCCTCCAGTCCAAAAAAACAGCCACCACCCTCTGTTTCTTACCTTCATGCTAATTTTGTTGCCAATTTGTTAGCTCTCCCTGGATTCCACATGATCTAACCTTGCTGACCAGTCTACCATGCTCTTTCTAAAGTCAGAGCAACACATAAGGCATTGCACTATAAGATTACAAACTAATAGGAGTCACTTTATTCATATAAGCAGGATTTCTTTTAATGGCACAAATTACATTTCCACTACAAATTTTACTAACATACAATTTTTAAAAAAAGTTTTAATCAAGGTATTGTATCAAAACTGGTTTCTCATTTATATAATCTGTAGAAACAATTCAAAGTCTTCCACTTTCTCTTCATTCAATTTGTGGATTATGCTTGAACAGGTACTCAGCCTTAAAAATAAAACAAAATTTAGGATTATTTGTCAATTCTGGATTAGGATAGAACGAGTTAGAATATGCAGGTGTATTTAAGGGAGACATAATTTAATCAGGACAATGATAACCTCTTTCTAATCATATGATTATCAGAACTTTAGCTTTGAAAAATATTAGGTTATCAATGATAATTGTTTGATTAGAACTCCAAGTGCCTACGTTTCTTTTCTGCGAGAAATCAATAGAGTATTACTGACTCCTGTGCAGCCATGCATATCTCTTCAGCAGAAGAGGCTAAAATGTTAATGTTTCCTGAAGCATGGGAATAAAGATGTTGGGTACTAAATCAGATGTGATTTACTTGCTTCATAGTTCTGTCTTCTTTCACAGCTGTTGAGTTAGTAAGATATTGAATGGGATAGAAAACTGGTCATTTCATCCCCCACACTGATCATGGCCATGTGCAGTATTGACTATGATAAGTGCAATGTCCTCATAGTTCAATACTGAGGAGGAGTCACTGTTGGTTTGTGTTCTAAGTAAAGGGAAATAATTAAATAGGTTGAAGGGATGGTGGCAAGGGAATCAGTATTGTACTTCACTTACCAGGAAGTCAACTGGGTCATTGGGCCTTATTTTGCAGCACTCAATCAGTCCCTTGGTCAGTGTTGGCATGACATTCTGCATTAAATAATTTCGTAATGGGACTGAATGAGCTTCAAGGAATTCCTGTTCTTGTCTTTTTACCTCCTCCAGGCGCTTGTTCTGTACAAAAAAAACCCAAACATGTGAACTTTACAACTTACACAAAGAGATAATGGACATAACCCATCTGGTTCGTGAACGCCCTTTAGGAAAGGAAACCTTCTGTCCTTACCCAGTGTGGCCTAAATGTGACTCCAGACCAACAGCAACATTGTTGACTCTTAAATGCCCTCTAAAATGGCCTAGCGTGCCACTCCATTTACAGGGAATTAGGAATGGGCAACAAATGCAGGTGTTGACACCAACATGCATTACAATAATAAAGAAAAAGAAATGTGGATAGAGCGGGAAGGCAATGTTGATACAGAAGATCAGCCACAATGATAGCAAACAGAGGAAACCCCTCAAAAGGTCAAATGGTCCATTCCTGCTCCATTTCTTATGTTCTTAGCTAGAATTCATGTACGCATCCAGATGCTTTTTAAATGTTGTAATTGCACCTATTTTGTCAAAGCTTTTATTCTTGTGCTCATCAGGCCAATTCATAAGGATATCAATGTAAGGGGAATAAACCATTTAGACTGTAAGAGGAGAGCGCTGATTTGTGGCAAATGGATTGGTAGAAGTGCTGCCAAGTTTGTTTCAAATTTAAACTAGTTAAGTTGGCTCTGGTTAAGGCATTGCCCTGAGAAACTGACCAGAGAATGCTGTCACCTATTAGATGCAGCATATATACATGTTCTTACTGTCTGCAAAGAACAGAAAGCAGTGTAAGAGTATTCATAGTGTTCAAAGATGCACAGGTTAGGTGAATTAGCTGTGGGAAATGCAGGGTTATAGGGTTAGTTGGGATGTTCTTTGGAAGGTCAGTGTGGACTCAATGGGCCAAATGGCCTGCCTCCACACCATAAGGATTCTATGATACTATGATTCCAGTGTGCACAGGTGTGCCATACTGCAAGTGCGACTGACCCATGTGTGTCATAAACAGACCATCCTTTTGGCTTACCAGCAGCATCCTATTAGCCTTACAGAGTGAGCTGAGGTAGACTGGCACTCTGGGATAATGACTACTCTGATCAGGTCATATCTCACTGTATATTGCACAAAGCCACAAACAGGCCATAAGCCTAACGCCCATTCAGAACCTGAGAAGTGCAAAATAATAACAAAGAAATACTAGAGAATCAGATTTGGCTCTGAAATTAAAGCTTCTAAAATCATTAAATCCAGATTTCATTCAAGTATGAAGGATGCAGTCATTGTGTTTTATTGCGATTTGTGAACGGAAAAAAAAAATTACAAGACAGCTACATTTGCTCATAAGGCAAAGCAAAACTTGTAAAATCGAAAGGAAATATCTCAAATGATGAAAATCTGAAATAGGAACAGAACTGCAACTAATCATCACTCTTCTCATACGGTGTAAATGGTTTATTTCCCTTACATTGATATTCTTATGAATTGGCCAGATGAGCACAAGAATAAAAGCTTTGACAAAACAGGTGCAGTTACAACATTAAAAAGTACAGACAGACTGTGACATCCTTGGTAGGTACCTTCTAAAGGAACAGTTTGTTAATAAATTGTTTTAAAAGCAGCTTTGAAAAGTTTTTATTTGACGAAAAAACATTTACATTAGAGATGTAAGAGATTTAAGCTTTAGATATCAATTCTAATCAGGTGCCAGAGATAACAAGGTGTAGAGCTGGATGAACACGGCAGGCCAAGCAGCATCAGAGGAGCAGGAAAGCTGACGTTTCGGGCCTAGACCCTTCTTCAGAAATGGGGGAGGGGAAGGGGATTCTGAAATAAATAGGGAGAGAGGGGGAGGCGGATAGAAACTGGATAGAGGAGAAGATAGGTGGAGAGGAGACAGACAGGTCAAAGAGGCGGGGGTGGAGCCAGTAAAGGTGCGTGTACGTGGGGAGTTAGGGAGGGGATAGGTCAGTCCAGGGAGGACGGACAGATCAAGGGGGCGGGATGAGGCTGGTAGGTAGGAGATGGAGGTGGGGCTTGAGGTGGGAGGAGGGGATAGGTGGGAAGAAGGACAGGTTAGGGAGGAGGGGACAAGCTGGGCTGGTTTTGGGATGCGGTTGGGGGAGGGGAGATTTTGAAGCTTGTGAAGTCCACATTAATACCATTGGGCTGCAGGGTTCCCAAACGAAATATGCATATTCTCCTTTATCCATCTTCTATCCGCCTCCCCCTCTCTCCCTATTTATTTCAGAATCCCCTTCCCCTCCCCCATTTCTGAAGAAGGGTCTCGGCCTGAAACGTCAGCTATCCTGCTCCTCTGATGCTGCTTGGCCTGCCGTGTTCATCCAGCTCTACACCTTGTTATCTCAGATTCTCCAGCATCTGCAGTTCCTACTATCTCTAATCAGGGGATAGTAATGCAGGACATTAATACTGAATATGTTATGGAGTAATTGTAAAGTGGTCAGCCAGATGGACCTCATAGAATATGAGCTCCCTAATTGAGGCTGTTAATCTGGTCCAATCAGGGAGCCTTGGCTGACAGATATAAACAGGAGTGCCAGAGGTTCTGTCATTCTGAGACTGGCTCCTGAGGAAGCTGGAATAGTATCAAGGACTTTCAACATGTAAATAAATGGTGACTTGGTGATGGGATACCGGCCTCTGTGGCAATTTTTCATGTTAGTTATCACAAAGTATAAAGTATATGAGAAATCAAATAACATTTAAACTCTGGTATTTTCAAATAAGATTGACATAAGCTTTTCAAAGTAAAATGTGTAAGCAAAATGCTGCCAAATTATGAAACTGAACTGGTGTATATAATTTAGGTAATTTGGAGGTTATTAATTAGTTTTGTTGTTATTAACAGTAAATGATTCTAAGAAAGAAAAGATTTGTTTGTTTAAATATTAAGTGGATAACAAAAGGCAGAGAGAATTGTACAAAGGACAGTCTTCAGGAATTTCAGCCTGGTGGCTGCTAGGAGGATATAAAGGCATAGACAGAAATTTTACCGATTGTAACACGAATATCAGTGGTTATGGACCTGCGGAGATTTTTTGATCTTTATTAAAGAGATTGCATTGCAACTGATCAATTCACATTCATGCTGGGAGAAAAGCAAAACAAAGAAAAATAGCTTCTGATTGTGATCAAATGGCATATTTTGATGCCTAGTTATATTTTTACTGAACATCACGAGCTTCTGCAGGTATTGGATCTTATCTGAACTTGCCAGTATGTTCCATTTATGAGTACATTTCCCCCCTTACCCATTCCTCCCAGCGAGCCATTTTCTTTGCAGCTTCATCCGCTTCCCTGCGTTCCCGCTCTGCAACTTCAGCAGCCTCTCTGGCTAGGCGCTCATCTGCCTGCCTGCGCTGCAGTTCTTTCAGCTCCTCATGTGTTGGTCCATAGTTCTTAGCAGATCCCACAATTTTAATAATCTCCTCAATGACTGGAGTGTTTTCAGCATCATTATCTTGAGAAACATCTGAAAGGAACATTTACAGGCTGCACTGTCAAATTTTCTTGTACATCTACTGCAATTCTCAACACAGATGAAAAATTCTATGTTGAAATTTGCCTTTCCAATGCTGGCCAAAATGACTTCTACATCATGTGGAGCAAATTACATATCTTTCCTTTCTTTCATATTCTTTATGCCTTAAACACTTTGGCTATAGGTATCATCTGTATTCTTGATCTTTATCACTTATTCATTCTTTACCCGTATTTTGTCAGTCCTTTCTGCTACTGACCATAAAACCCAGCTATTAATCTACATATCTTTTTCTTTGTGACATTGATGGACCTACTGTACATTTCCAGCATTTAAATGTCTTATTTCAGATTTTTGGCGCTCACTGTTTTATTTTAAATGTAGATTACATTCTAATTAGATACACCTTTTATTATTGCCAATGGAAATCACTAATGATAATTCTGTCGGAGCTAAAAGTAAACCATATATTAAAATAGGCATTTATATTTAAGAAATAAATGCAAAAGCACCCAAGATTTTCCATACACATTGTACCTTCAGACATGGGACTGAAGACAGCCAAGGTGCTTCTCCTTTGGGAAGGAGAGAAGGAAAATCAAAGAATGTCCTCTTGAGTGACGGAGTTAAAAAAGATACAGTGGCCTTCACAACATCAAGACATGTCGTTTCACTATCAATGAAGAACTTTATTGTTAATCTGCTTATCTGCCTCTTTAAAATAACCCTTCCAACACGGTCTGACTTGTTCAGTTAATGGTGTCATTATTCATAGCACATATCATGATCTAACTGGGTGGTGTAGCTGGCTCAATGGTTAACAGCAGTTCCTATTTTCCTGAAAACGTGACCTTGGAATTCCCTTGTTAGTATAGGGGTTAGTATCCCCGCTATAATGCAGGAGACTGGAGGTGAATCCCCTGATGGGGAGTGGCTGATCTCTGTGTGATGGACTGTGCGTAAACAAGGGTTTCTCTTTTGGTGCTTGTGATGCATCGATAGTGTCCCGGCATCTGAGCCAGGAGGTATCAGTTGAAGTCCCACCTGCTCCAGAAGTGTAACAATATCATTGAACGGGTTGATTAGAAAATATAAAATGTAACCTTGAAATTAACGTAAGTAATTCCAAGTGAGGCCCTCCTATGTGAATAAAAATACTTGCAAGAATATTTTGTTTTCTATAAAGTGCAAAATTTTCCTGACTAATCATGTTAAAAAAACACTTTACACAATTAATATCCAAACCTGGGCTAGTACTTGGAAAGATGGGAAATCAAACCAAGCAAAAGGTTCGACAACAATAGTCACAAGGCAGCAAACCATGGTTCACAGGTGTGACATAGAGCTGCAAGTTGGTTGGCAGGGAAGTCCACCCAGTCTTGAGGGTTAATAGCAGGAGATGCTTGAAATAGATAGATAAAAGGGCAGGAGGGAGAGCACAGGTGGAAAGACAAAATCTATGGTGGACCTTGGATACTACCCTGAGGAACTGACATCAATCAAGCTTACCAATGTGCACAGGATGAATCTCAATCTCATCAAAGTAATTAAGGAGTGTCTCATCTTCCGTATTTTGATCCCTGTACAGGGCGAGGTGACGCATGAACTTGTCTTGTGTATAGTGGGTTCCAACCACAAGACTCTCTGGCAGGTTTAAAACACGATTCTTCAGGAACTCATTGGAAGCTTCCAAAGAAAAGATGTATTCTGTGGAGAAAAAGCATAGAGGCAATGAATTATTGCCATAGAAATGATACACGAAAGGTCAGAGGAATGGCACTTTTTAAAAAGTTACCAAGAGAGCTTGGAGGGAGATATAAGAACATAACAACATAAGAACTAGGAGCAGGAATAGGCCATCTGGCCCCTTGAGCCTGCCCCGCCATTTAATAAGATCATGGCTGATCTTTTTGAGACTCAGCTCCACTTACCTGCCCACTCACCATAACCCTTAATTCCTTTACTGTTCAAAAATTTATCTAGCCTTGCCTTAAAAACATTCAGCGAGGTAGCTTCAACTGCTTCACTGGGCAGGGAATTCCACAGATTCACAACCCTTTGGGTGAAGAAGTTCCTCCTGACCTCAGTCCTACATCTGCTTTCCTTTATTTTGAGGCGATGTCCTCTAGTCCTAGTTTCACCTGCTAGCGGAAACAACCTCCCTGCCTCCACCTTATCTATTCCCTTCATAATCTTATATATGTTTCTATAAGATCTCCCCTCATTCTTCTGAATCCCAGTGTACTCAGTCTCTCCTCATAATCCAACCCTCTCAACTCTGGAATCAACCGAGTGAATCTCCTCTGCACCCCCTCCATGGTTAATAATGAAGACAAAGAAATAGTTAGAGGTAACCTCGTTAAAATTTAAGACCTCAGGTGCAGAGAGAAGGTAAAGTTAATAGTATAGTGATGCATTGGGCTTAAGAATTTCCATGTATGATTAAAATGAGTAATTGAGGCTTGAAGAGGAGATTGGGGAGTGTAAGTGAATTCCACGAGGATGAGGAGTGAGTCATGTCAGATTCACCTTTCAATGGTATATAAATATTCTGGAGTTTTCCCCAATTACCTTTGAGGGTCATCAAATGTCCATTTAGGAGTTAAAATAATGAAATAAAATACACTATGTGATAGATTATACAGATGGAGAGGGTAAGCTTGATAGTCCAAATGATCTTTGCTCCCATAACTTTATTAAGATTGACGAACAACAGATAAGGGTCTATAAGTGAAGATAGTTTATGTAGGTATTTGCAGGTTGGCAGTAACAAAAAAATAAAATATGACAGGTATTATTGACACAGCTTTATAAAACTATAAATTATTACTAACCTGGAGTAATTAATTTGTCATATTGAGGTGATTTATTCAGGGTACTTTCTTCTTCCTCATCTTCTTCCACTGTATGACAAGACAAGACACATAAGGATTAGTTTAAGGACGGATGAATGCACCTTCTAAAAAGCTCAGTAATGTCTGTGCTGCAGAGATGCCGAAATGCTGTTATACACCTCTGGATTTTTTTTTTAAAAACTACCACCAAATCATCCACATTATAAATTAAAAAACAACTTAATATGCATGACCCACCAGGAGCAATATAACAAGGTGCAGAGCTGGACAAACGCAGCAGGCCAAGCAGCATCAGAGGAGCAGGAAAGCTGACGTTTCGGGTCTAGAGCCTTCTTCAGAAATGGGGGAGGGGAAGGGGCTTCTGAAATAATTAGGGAGAGAGGCGGAGGTGGATAGAAGATGGATAAAGGAGAAGATAGGTGGAGAGGAGACAGACAGGTCAAAGAGGCGGGGTTGGAGCCAGTAAAGGTGAGTGTAGGTGGGGAGTTAGGGAGGGGATAGGTCAGTCCAGGGAGGATGGACAGGTCAAGGAGGAGGCAGGTACTAAGAAAGGCTGTAGTACCTGGTTTGCTTCAGGACGTGGTCGAGCAGTTTCAGGGGCGAAGAGATTACAAGAGGGTTGCAGTGGGAGCGAGATCCACTGAGGTCTTTCCGGAGGGAGGAGGGTAACTTCTTCAAGGGAGGCATCCTTAGAAGAGGCTTCGCAGTGTGGTTAAAATTGTTACAGAGATAGTAGGAACTGCCGATGCTGGAGAATCTGATATAACAAGGTGTAGAGCTGGAAGAACACAGCAGGCCAAGCAGCATCAGAGGAGCAGGAAAGCTGACGTTTTGGGTCTAGACTCTTCTTCAGAAATGGGGGCGGGGAAGGGGATTCTGAAATACATAGGGAGAGAAGGGGAGGCGGATAGAAGATGGATAAAGGAGAAGATAGGTGGAGAGGAGACAGACAGTCAAAGAGGCGGGGTCGGAGCCAGTAAAGGTGAGTGTACGTGGGGAGTTAGGGAGGGAATAGGTCAGTCCAGGGAGGACAGACAGGTCAAGGAGGAGGGAGACCACCAGGAGCAATGTTGGGTAAGAGGGAGGGAACTGTATTAAAATGAATTCAGAGGGGGACATAATGCACTTCAAGCTCCATGGTGCCCACCTCTCTCTGAAAGCTTTAAGGGCACAGGTGGGAATCATGTGTTTCCTCTCCAAGGACACACAGGCACGAATGTAGTCGAGAAAGAAGGACAGTGAGTCGTGAACTATGACACTGTCCACAGCTTGCTGCCTGCAGCTGTTGATGGCTACTTTTTCTAGGCCCAGGAGCATGCCCACCAGAGGAGGTCCTTTTATTTGTCCACTTCCCACTACACCAGGTAACCAAAGATCAGGAGGGTATGCCTGAAGTGTGATCAAAAGAACAACAAACATTTTTAAAATAATCAAACAGCAGGGGTACAACCACCCACAACTGATGCAAACATGTTCGGCTGTGCAGAACCCATCTCTTAAATACTTTGTCAAATAAGCATCTCCTGCTCTCAATCAACTCTGGAGTTGTTCTGGTTGACCGTTAAAGAGACCCAATATTGACATATAAATCCAGACTTCTAGCTAGCTCTCAAGAATCTTTAACCTAAAAATGCTTGAGGAATACAACCAAAGTTTAACTCAGAATCCCCAAATTTTCTTTGACTTCCTCTTTCATGCTTTTCTTCCCTTCTTCAGGAATCTTTTTCACCCACCTCACCCCTTTGCCTACATTTTTTTTGACCAGGTCAGTCCACTCTCAGGTCTACTCTGGGTCTGTAAATGGCAACTGGAACGCTAGTGAGGGCATCTTTGTTCTAGCCAATCTCTAAATGGTTTCTCTCATGTCAAACTTGTGATGCACATTAGGTGACCTAGCTGAATTTAGGAGTTTACCATACAGGGGACTGAACATCCAATCAACATCCTATTGCTCCATGCCACAATCAGCTGATTCAGCAGATCTCATGAATATTCATAGATTTTCAATGGGATTAAATTTTGATTTGTAATATAGTATTTATAAGTTATTGCAAAGTGTCCACTTGCAATTAATTTGTCTTGATTCTTCGCATATCCACTTGCTTTGCCATTCACAATTTGCTACACATAAACACAGTCTTGCCATGGAACAACTTTCGTATAGCATAATAATCTGTGTGCTTTACAGATGCAGCAGTGGACACCAAACAGGAGAGACAGTATGATTCAAAATTAAGGGAACAATTAGGGATAATTTTATGGCTAGTATTTTGTAGAAACATGAACTGAGGAAACTTTGTTGTTTGTTGTTTATTGTAGTTTCAAAGAATAAGTATTTGAAAATAGAATTAACTAATCTTTAAATGGTGTCATAAATAAACATTTTGGCCTCAAAAGAGCACCTTGGTTCTTGTTGAGAGCCTTTCTTTCCCTCCTCCTTCTTCTTCATCCAGTAACTTGTCCTGCAAATCCAAAAGCAGTGCTGCCACAAGAAATGCAACACAGCAGCCCCCCAGGGTGCTTAAACAATGTTTGTACTGCCGGAACTGCTTTGTGCGAGCTCTGCAGTTCATCTCAGAACACCTTTAGAGTCATTCAGCATGGAAATAGACCCTTTGGTTCAACTAGTCAATGCCAACCATGTTACCAAATCAAACTAGTCCCATTTGCCTGGTTTGGCCCATAGCCCTCCAAACCTTTCTTATAATGTACTTTGTCCAAATGTCTTTTAAATGTTATAACTGTACTTGCATCCACCACTTCGTCTGGCAGTTCATTCCACATACAAAGCACCCTCTGTGTAAAAACATTGCCCCCATGTCCTTTTAAAATCTTCCTCCTCTCATTTTAAAATTATGCTCCCTAGTTTGAACAGCCATACCCTAGAGAAAAGACCCTTGCTATTCACCTTATCAATTTTCAAGATTCATGGTGGTTTGTGACATGCTGCTTAACCTCATCATGATGAAGCACATCCCTGAACATCATGCTACATAGCAATTAGCAGAGGAGAAGATGAGTTTGGAGATAACTACCACTACTGCAGGGAAAAAGTTTAAGGGAGATATGCGTGGAAAGTTCTTTACGCAGAGGGTGGTGGGTGCCTGGAACGCGTTGCCAGTGGAGGTGGTAGAGGTGGGCACAATAGCGTCATTTAAGATGTATCTGGACAGATACATTAATGGGCAGGGAGCAGAGGGATACAGATCCTTGGAAAATAGGCGACAGGTTTAGATAGAGGATCTGGATCGGCGCAGGCTTGGAGGGCCGAAGGGCCTGTTTCTGTGCTGTAATTTTCTTTGTTCTTTGTACTCTGGATAGGTTATTTCTGTTTGACTTATCTGGCTGAGACACCGGTAAATGCAACACCATTCCTCAGTTATTCACAATTCACCTTCACTGTGTTACTGACAATCACAATGACCATTATGCAAAAATCAAAATCACCACCAAATAAATATTCCAAGCCAAACTGAGCATGTCATGCCAACTAATCATCCATGCTTTCCCTCACAGCCTGTGCTCTTCATTCTTTCATGGGATGTGGATGTCACTGGCAAGACCAGCATTTGTTGTCCATCCCTAGTTGCCCTTGAATTGAGTGACTAACTTGGTAATTTCAGAAGACACTCAACAGTCAATTGCATGAGATAGTAAGAACTGCAGATGCCGGAGTCAGAGATAACACAGTGTGGAGCTGGAGGAGAAAAGGAGAGTTGGTCATGGGATGAGGCCGGGGGTGGGAGATTTTGAAACTAGTAAAATCCACATTTCGGCCATTGAGCTGTAGGCTCCCGAGGCGGAATATGAGGTGCTGCTCCTCCTGTTTCAGGTGGTGTCATTGTGACCGCTTTGTAGACCGCTTTACAGAGCACCTGCATTCTGTTCCGGTTGCAAACAATTTCAAATCCCCCTCCCACCCAGGGGGGTGACATGTCCATCCTGGTCCTCCTCCAGTGTCACAATGATGTTACCCGGAAATGGGAGGAGCAACCCTCCCTTTCATCCCGCCTCCTTGACCTGACACAACCTGTCTGTCTTCTCTCCCATCTATCTGCTCCTCCCACCTCACTGGTCAATCCCTACGACTCCCTAGCTGCACTCACCTATCACCATCCCAACTACCTTCCCCAGCCCCACCCCTCCTCTCTCTATTTGTTTCTGACCTCACTTCCCCACCCCTCCCATCACCCACCCCCATTTCTGAAGAAGGGTCCCGACTCGAAATGTCAACGTTCCTGCTCATCTGATGCTGCCTGGCCTGCTGTGTTCCTCCAGCTCCACACTGTGTTATCTCAAGAGTCAATTGCAGTGAAGTCACATGTAGGCCAGAACAGGTAAACTGGGCAGATTTCCTTACTCTAAAGGGGATTAGTGAACCAGACTTTTTGAAAACAGTGATCAATGATATTTAACATAGTCACCATCACAAAGACTAGCTTTATATTCCAAAATAGTTCACTGAATTCAAATTCCACAAACTGTAATGGCGGGTTCTGAATGCATTTATACTTATCTTATGTTCCTATATAGAGCTACCTGAGTGGTTGCATCATGGAAGGCTGCTGAATTCTTTGAAAAAGATGGTCCCAAAAGGGCATTTTGTCATTCTTAAGCAGCTCTATACCTAGAAACCCTGGCTTTGTATGCATCATCTTGGCATGGGCATCAGCAGTCTGGATTGGTTGGCCAACGGTGAAGAAGCCGTGTGGAAGGACAAATGTTGATACATTAAAGAGAGATGTTGTTCTCCAATCATTGTTGGAGAATCAACTACTGTGACACCACTGTGATATCCAGATGCTGTGTGGCTTCTCCAGGTGATGCATTGGAAACTGAGATATCAATCATCAAACACTGCATCGTGGTTGGTTTGTACTAATAGAATCAGACTTCATTTCCACCATCACAACCCTGTAAAAGGCATTTCCTTAAAAGTGATGTATCTAGCCCCTTTTTGATTTGGAAGCCAGTTAATTTAAAAATAACCAGCATCACAGCTTTAATCTTAAACAAAATATTTGTAGTTTACTGCAAAATTACTGTTGTAGTTATTCAAGTAAAAATGATAGTTTTACTAGCGATATACATATACAAAGGTTAAAAGTAGGGAAGGTTAAAAGATACTCAGAAAGATGAAAGTAAGACCAGTCTCCATAATTATGGCAATTTGTAATAAGTTTAAGTGATGTGGCTGTACTGGTTGAATAGTCAGTAGTATGTGCAAGCTGTGAAATGCGGTTGTGAGATTTTCAACAGTCCGAAGATTGTGGCATTATGTCATAGAACATAGGAACACAAGAACAGGGGTAGGATTCAGCCCTCATGTGAGGTGCGAGTCTTAACAAAGATTGTTGGTACATGTATGATGGCATGTGTGACATTGTGTATGAAGGTACAGTTGGTAGTATGCGGCATT